TTGACTTGGGAATTCAGTCCATTAATATTTAAAGTTATTAATGAAAGATGTGTATTGAATCCTGTAATTTTTATTTCTGTTCACATTGTTGATATAGCTGTATTTTTCCAAAGTTATGCCTTCATTGAATTTCTTTCTGCAACCCCTTGGGTATACTCATTCCTTTCTTCAGCTCTTTGTATTGCTTCCAGAAGTTTCTGAAGTGCTGGTTTTGTGGACATGAATTCCTTAAGCGAGTTTATGTCATTGAAGATTTTTCTTTCCCCTTCGACTATAATAGACATTTTGGCTGTGAATAGTAATCTGGTTTGGCATCTGTGGTCACTTAAAACTGGGAATACTTTGGTCCAGGCTCTTCTGGCTTTCAATGAAAAGTGAAAAGCTGACTTTCACTGACTTTTCACTGAAAAGTCAGCTGTGATCCTAATGGGTTTTCCTTTATATGTGACTTGTTTTTCTTTTGAAGCTTTCAGTATTGTCTCTTTGTTCTGTACATTTAGTGTTTTAATATGATGTGCCGTGGAGAGATTCTTTTCTCATCCTGTCTGTTTGGTGTTCTATATGCTTCTTGTATTTGTATGGGCATGTCTTCCTTTAATTTGGGGAAATTTTCTTCTACGATTCTGTTGAGGGTCTGATCCATGCCATTATCTTGGGTTCTTCTCCTTCCTGTATGCCTGTGATTCGTACGTTTGGTCTTTTTATGGTGTCACACAATTCCTGCATATTCCATTCTTGTGCTTTCTTAAAATTTTTTCATAATCTTTGCTTGAGTGGTCTAGTTTGTCCACTTTATCTTCTTGTCTTGATATTCTTTTTTCCATTTTATTCACTGTATTGGTGAGGCTTTCTCCTGTCATTTCTAATTGGCTTACTGAGTGTTTCACTTCCTTCTTCATTTCAGCCTGGGTATTCTTCAATATTTCTAACTCTTTTCTGAATTTATTCAGAAGTTTATCCCTATCTTCCTTCAGCTCTTTGATTACCTTGTTTGTGTGTTCTTTAAATTCACTGAATTCTTTTATCATATTCATCATTGTTCTTTTGAGATCCATGTCCTGCATTAGAGGACTATTGGAATTTGGTGGGGATATGTTATTTTGATTTTTCATGTTATTATTTTTTCTCTGTGATTTTGACATGAATTTCTTTTGTAGTTTCTGTTTCTTGTGTGAGACTCAAGCCTTCAAGTTGGGATCTGCTTCTTTTTGTAAACTTTATGTGCCTTTGTGGTTTACTTTTTGGGCATGAAAAGCTGGTTCATCAAAGCTTCTGGTTCTCTGTCGCGAGCCACGACTCTGTCCAGCAGAGCCGAGGAAAGACGACACAGACACCAAGGTGAGGTTCAAGCTTCTTTTTCTCACTCTTCCTTTATTCTCTCTTATTCTCTCTCATATTCTCTCTCTTTGTTGTTCTTCCCCTCTCTTGTCTCCTTCCTTGTCTCTCCCTCCTCTCTCACACACTTCAGCTCTTCATATATCGTTTCCAACAGCCCTCTCCCCAGCCAGGACCAATCAGGACACACACACGTGCAGCGGGCAGGCAGAGTGCAGCTCATTGGCCACATAGCAAGATCATCAGGCAGGCAACACCTCTTCGGGCTCACCATGCTTCAGGGAGTTGGAGTAAACAAGCGAGGATCACGAGCCTTGGCAATCAGCCAAGAGTTGAAGTAAACAGCACGAGGCTTGGCAGCCAGCCAAGGCGCCATCTTGGCTGGCTCGGCTGTGCTCGCTTCCCACAGTTCTCTCTTTTGATTTTATATTGGAGTGGCCAGATTGCTTTTGTCTTCAAGAGTTCCCACAGATGCCTAAATCAGATGAGGATCAGATGCTCTCAGGCTTTCTCCTAAGGTCTGGATCCCTCCAGGAAAGATGTTGTCCTCAGGAATTTGGGGGTTGGACTGGCCTGGGAGCAGGGCCCAGGAAAGATGTTGGTCTCAGGCAGCTGGTGGCTGTGCCACCCAGAGATGCAAAGGGAGATGGCGGCGGGAAGAGGCCCCAAGGGCTCCTGGGGACTGCAGGGAGGAACTGGGTTGGTCTGGATGTAAAGGATCAGGAAGCCCAGAGGTCATCCCCAGTGTCCAGGAAAGAGGCTGGCAGGTTGTGTAGCCCAGGGAAGCAGAGGGAGGTGAGGGTGGGACCAGGCCTAGAGGGCTCCTGGGGACTGCAAGAAGGAACCGGGTTTGTATGGATGCAAGGGAACAGGAAAGTGTGGTTCCAGGGTCAAGAGGTCAGCCCTGCTGTCCAGGAAAGAGGCTGAGTCAGCTTCTTTAGGGGTGTGGCCCATGATAGGTCCACCATGCTCCAATGGATGGCCATATACCCAAGAGTGTATGGACAGTATAAATTGAACTCATTGGGTTAATATTTAAAAAGCCATAATGGAAACCATTATTCTACCAAAGTTGACCCCATGTTGGCAAATCCTTTGGTCTTTGATTTCTTATTCCTACTTTCCCCTCCTTAAACTTCGTTGCATATATTTTTATGACCTGATTTAAGTTATTTCTGGGAAAATGTGCTAAAAATGGCTTCTCTTTGGAATAAAAAAAAAAGCCATAAAGTTGGATGGGTAGGGAAGGTGGGTAAACCTGGAAGGAGTTGGGGGGAGGCAATGAATATGATCAAACTAATTCTATGGCATTTTCAAAGAATAAAAACATAAAATAAAATATTCTGAATTTTTCACTTCTGAATATTTATATAATGATAATTTTATAATTATAAAAATTATTTGCTTTATGCTTTCTTCCCATCAATTTAAATGTAAAACTATTGTGAGAAAACATTACATTATAATTAAATGATGTAGGGGAATGAACAAAATCTTTCTTAAAACACATTAGCATCCTTAATTTCAGTCAACCACAGATCTATGTCAAGAAATGATAAGAAAATTTAATGTGTGATATATTCTGTGGCTCCAAATTCTGCACTGTTATGTTCTAAGGCTGGAGAAACAGAGAAGAAACCAGAAGCAGAGAGATTTGTCAAAGCTCTTAGGCAAACCCAAAATGAATTGAGTTAGAAGATAGCCACATATTTTCACTCTTATACATGTTTAGTTCCAAAGAGATTCTTATCCTGGAAATCAAGAAAGTGAGTGGCAGTCATCTTATCCTCAAGCTAAACATCCATTAAATGCAAGAAGCAAACAAACAAACAAAAGTAGACATTTGCTTTTCTGCCACCAACTAAGCAAGAACATCAGCAAAGAAATTTAAAATACACCTTCTAAAACTGGATACGCTTGTCATAGCCATTCAGCAAATACCAACAGCAGCACTGAGAACGAGCACAGAGAAAATAAACATAGGAATATAAGGAAGGAGCTACAAGCTTCCTAAAAGTTTGGGGAGAGGTTGAGGAGATGGCTCTGTGAGTAAAATGTTTGTTCTACAATCATGAGGACTTCAGTTCAGATCCCAGTACCAATGTAAAACTGGGTATGACAGCAACATGCCTATAACTCAACTCTAGCACTATGGTGGAGAAGGCAGATCTTGGGGATTCACTGGTAGCCAGCTTGGCCAATGGAGAACTCTGGGTTTTCAGTGAGAGTCCCTGCCTCAAAAAATAATATGGAGAAGAAATTACAAAGACATTCTAATGTCAACCTCTGGTCTCCACACATATCCACAGGGGTAAGCACACATGTGCAAATGCCCATATACCTACCCCATACAGAAACAAGTTTTAGAAGACCTAGTAATTTATACTTTATACTGCCAGCATTTACTCATAGGACAGAAAGTGTGAGGAGAAAAAAGCTGGGGTGTAAGCAGAATGATGACTGGACCCTTTTCGTCATTGTGACACAGTCTTTTATCCTCACACACTTACAGAAGGTTTTCCTCCAAGGATGTTTGTGGGGATGGTGTTAGGTGCATATAAACCTATAAACACACACCTAGATTAGACTTGCTGCAGGTTAGCGCACAGACATGAGCAGCATCAGTCTTTGGTTCTAAGGAATTTGTGTAAAAGAGTTATAACTGCAAGGTTTTGAAGGCCACGGTTCTAAATCTATATTTGTTCCTGTTCTTGGCAATTCTTCTTGTGTCAATAATGAAATTGGAAGTCCTTGAAAAGAATTATTTGTCTCTCATCATTTATAGTACCCAATACAGTAGATTACAGCTTTCTACTTGATTCAGGTGTAGAAAGATGTTCCCAAGGCGTGATACAGATTAAAAAATGAAGTTAATAAAAAAGCCAGAAAGGAGTTTACAGATCAGAGAGAAGACAATTGTATGCTTAAATCCCATTTCCACCCAAGTGTATTTGATGCTTACTTTATTAATGTGCTTACACTAGCTCAGATGGCAAGAACATGTCTCAAAACCTTTTTATTAATTCAAATACTGTTACCTTTAAAACACAACTTGTAACTTGTATCCATTTGTGTGTAGAATCTTCCTATTTGTCCAGCAAACGAGGAAGAATTTAACATCTGTAAAAATACTACCTGATTTAAATTCAAAACCTTACTACAAATGTCCGTAGAAATAATAGTGTAGCCTCATTTATACCTTCATAAAAGTTAAAGCCACTTACCTCCAAGGTGAATGACAGCACCACATCAGACTTTGACAGCTGAATCTCATTCTCATCACCTAGGTCCAAAAATGCAGAATTCTGTGAACGTTTTAATTTTTGTAATTTGAATTCTGGACCACCCTTTGAAACAGGAAGACTCTCCAAATTGGCCATTAGCAAGTTCACGGAGGCCCGCAACTCTTCTATGTACATGGTTTCCATTTCCTTTGAGATAAACTGGGGAAATCTTCTTTCCTTAAAAAGCAATTTGAAAAAGAATGTTACATCAGTCTTATTTCAATTATATCAAGAACAATTATATGATGCAATGACTCCTTTGTGTAACAGTATAACACTTTCCATATAATACATCTATCTTACTTCTGTCTGTGGGCTATAAAAGTCTCAGACTTTGGCAAACTTGACTGTATCTAAAGGTATTTTATGTATTCTATGGAGGATCATTGTGTATAGAATGAACAACACTGGGTATCTTCTTTCACATTAATTACCTTTGTAAGCTGTGCATAAGTGAAATCAGGTACACTGAGAAATTTTAGTGTATAGATGAATCTTAATTGAATATTATCATCTTTTGGGGGACCTGGAGTAACTGGTTTTCAGGAAAACATTTAGGAAACATGAAAAAAAAACATTTTAGGAAAAGCACCATTACCGTCATGTATACTGTGGGATGTTCTTTGTATGTAACCACTTACACAAAACTCCATATTACTAATAATAACATGAACATTTTTCTGTAACTTTTACATTGCAGAAGTGTGTAAAGATCCCTGATGGCCACAATCCAGGTTTAAACTAAAGGTTTAGAAAAATTTAAAGCAAAGGACCAATTTATAATAATCTGTTAAGTGAAAAGGAAATTAACAGTATCAGTATGGAAGACAACTGATCTTTTTATCTCTACAATCAGATTTTAATTTTTTCACTCATTTAAAACAATATCCTCAATATTGATAATTAAAGAGTTCCAAACTGTCATTAGAGAAGATCATTCCAATTCATATTCCTCAAAACAGCACACGAGAACACATATTTTTCCTCTTGAATTTTCTCTAACCCGGCATTTGGCTCTTTCATTCAATAGAGAGGGGATAGCTTAAGGACAAATTGAAAGTAATGTCTTCTGCAACAGAAACAGTTTGAGAATGAAGAGTTAGAGTGGTCATCTTTCAAAGGATTTCTGGGTGCTACAGCAAATCACAGCCTTCACTGTCATTTCCCTTGGTATCATTTAAAATCTCACCTGTGTTACCTGCACCCGTAACAACACTAAAATATGTCCAGCACACCCTTAACAGCTTGCACCCTGACCCTGAGTTGCTTGCAGCAATCCATCTACTGCATGGGCAGGAATACCTACATCTTAGGAAATGCCTGGGATTCCCAGGCTACCTGTTTGCTTCCTTTCCAATATAACCTTCATGTATTACTCTTAAAAATAATTTACATATAAGTATACTAAATTGTATATTTTCACAGAGACTATAGCTTTACGGTAATAATATTCCAAAGATCCTAGAGTTGGACGCCACCTCCCTTAATTATAAGTTTGCATGTTAATTAAAAACACATGATAGGCAAATACCATGTATGTCTGGGAAATAGTAAGTAATAGGATGGGCAAGAGTCATAATGTGCTCTTAGAAAATATGGGTCTCAGGGCTGGAGAGATGGCTCAGTGGTTAAGAACACTGGCTGTTCTTGCAGAAGACCTGGGTTCGAATCCCAGCAACAACATGGCAGCTAACAACTGTCTGTAACTCCAGTCCGAGAGACTCTGACAGTCTCTTCTGACTTCTGTGGGCATTGCACGACATGGGTGCACTTACCTACATGCAGGCAATACTTGCATACACATAAAATAAAAATAATAAATAAGATTTATTTTTAAAAAAGCCCAAAAAAGTTGACTTAAGATTCGTTTACAATACAACAAAGAATAAAACAAAAAAGAATACATAAAAAACACATTTCTGCATTTTTGGACTAACTTTAAAAGCTTTCTGATAAATATCATGCGTAGCTCAGGAATGAGGCAAAGAGATGGTGTGACAGGTTTGTTCAACGTCATAAAGGGCATTGTTCATCCAATAACCATCAGAGGACATGGACTTAAATATACTTACAGTTTATTAAGGATTAGAGGTTCCTAACCGATAAATTATATATTACCTTGTAGAATTTTGTCTGGGAAAGATGCAAATAATGTTTGTCTCCTAGGCAAAATAGGCTAATGGTCACCATGTTTGGTAAGACTGATCAAGCAAGTATAAGTCTGTGTTAGAAATTGGCCAATTCAAAAAATACTTTAATTTTTATATTTGTTGAGAATCTCATACATAAGTACTGTATTTACACCATTTCCACCTCTCCCTGTCCCCACTCAAAAGCCTCCCACAGCCCCCACTTTCAATTTTTTGATCTCTTCTATAATTTTTACTGTTACACATACACACATTATTATAACTAATCTACAAAAGTTTAAAAATGCCCCCAAACACCTTGTTTCTCAGATGCTCTTTGGAATGTTTTTAATATTCAAATGGTTTGCTTATTCACAATGAACTGAATAAAACATTGTGTTATCATTTTATATTTGTATGGAAGTTATAATTTTGCCTTTTAAAATTGTACTGTCACAAAGAAAAAAAAAGAAAATGTGACATATTTGAAAGTTCAGAAGCATCAATTTCTTTTCAAATTTCCAAAGGGTTGTTTTATGGAAACCCAGTATTAGCACGTAAAAAATAACCTATTCACATTTAGCTATGACTAAAAACACTTCATTATCCTCTGTCTAAAAGGAAACTGACAGGCATTACAAAAAGGGACATATCACTATTTTCAGGTTGGTTGGGAACTGACTACACTAGAATTTTATTTATAATCTGAAAAAGAAAAAAAAAAACACAAGCCTTCGTTTGAAGCTTTGGCATCTATGGGTAGCATGGCATCAACTGCCTTTGTTGCCTCTTGGAAACAGATGGGTCAATTGCATATCTGATTAGTGTACATGTTAAATATGGCCTTATGAATGAGAATAGAATCAGGTAAGTGGTTATTTTCTGTTACCTGTGAATTGTTCCTATAAATGAACTTCTAATTTCCCCTGTACAGGATCACACACTCGTGCCTCTTGCACTAAAGCATGAATGCTTGCTCCCTGCGAAGGTCTCCAGTGTTTTTACTCCCTGTTGTCCTTAGCTTCCTCCTCCTTTTCCACTGGAGTCCATAACCACTGGCAAGTTTCCCCAAGCCAATCAATCTCTGTTTTGTCTTCCATCACTACTCAAGTTGAGCATCCCTAACTCCCAGATCTGAAATGATCCAAAATCGAAAACTTTCTCAGTACTTTGATATCACACATTGTGAATTCCATAACTGACCTTCAATGAGTCTAGTCAAAATATAGGTACCATAAACAAACTGCTGTATAAAATTACCGCCAACCTATGTGTTTAAGGCATGAAACCGTTGTAATGAACTTCAGGTTTAGACTGGGCTCCTATCTCCAAGAATGCTTATGCATGTGCACATATTCTAACATCTGAAAAACTCCAAAATCTGAAATACTTTTAGTCCCAATCATTATGGAAAAGGGGTATTCAATCTATATTAATTTTAGGATTATGGTATCACTTAGTCTGTGTGCAGAGTAGTCCCAAAGTCAACCAAAATACTGAAGTACACATACACACACACACACACACACACACACAAATTGGAGATTTGGTCACCCTTATTATATTGATAGTCTCTCTCCCTTTCAATTCAAGTATATTCTTGATAAGAAGAGGCAAGAGTCCTAGAAATATTTCATGAACTCTGCCCTGCTCTGGCTTTCTACTGGACCATGTAAAGAGTCAGTCATTCAAAAGACATTTACTAAATGTCTGGCATGTCTTCTGTTCTAGATCCTTGGAGTACATCAAGAAGATAATGGGGGCAGGGAGGGGTTGGCAAGATGGCTCAGCATTTAAGAGAACTGGCTACTCTTGCAGAGGATCCGGACTCAGTTCCCAGCACCCACATGGCATCTAACAACTCTCCATAACTCCAGTTCCAGGGGACCCAGTGCCTTCTTCTGACCTCTGTGGACATCGTATAACACAGGTGCACTTATATACATGCAGGAACTCATATACATAAAATAAAAATAATAAATAAAATATTAAAAAAGAAGATAATGGCCAGGCATGGTGGCGCATGCCTTTAATCCCAACACTCAGGAGGCAGAGGCAGGCAGATCTCTGTGAGTTCAAGGCCATCTTGGTCTACATAGTGAGTTCCAGGACAGCTGGGGCTACAGGGAGACCCTGTCTCAAAAAGACAAAAAAAAAAAAAAAAAAAAAAAAAAAAAAAGAAGATAATGGGCAAAATCTGTTGTTATTGAGACACTTTATTAGGAAGATAGGTTTAATACGTATTAATAAGAAATCATTTCATATTGTAGAAAATGGTACTGTGGCGAAAAACTTGGGAAGTGGTCCTAGTGAGTGGAAGAGGGGCTCTAACTTTCAATAGGATATTGAATGGTAAATACTTCCTAAGCCTTGATCTCCTTGTCTAGAGAATCCATGCTATCATCTGCCCTTGTGGCTCACGGGATTATGAGAGAAATACAATGCAACAAGGTCAGTGCATTGTGAGAGACTTTCAAGTATTATGTGAACAACTTCATCATGCGCATTTAAAGTGCAGAGCAATTAAACTTGCTCTGCATGCTATGTCAATACTTCCACTGAAAGGCTTCTTGTTTTTGAAGCATTTTACCCCTCTAATCCCATCTGCTTCACTTCTTTGTCCCTACTTTTCCCAGTTAATCACATTGCTGATGAGACAATGGAGATATCCAAAGGGAAGCCTTATTGGCCACTGTTGAAGGCCAGGACTTATTAAAATGCATTCTCCACAGATGGGAACTTGAGAACACATCTGAGACAGTTCCTTTTGACTCTAACCATCCAGAACATCATTCAAACTATACTGGAAAACATCCAGGTATAGCCAGGGCCCTGGAAGAACAAATCCAAGTTATGACTTGGGTAGCAATCTCAGGTATATCTAGGTACAAGGAAGGAACATATAAATGCTGAGCGCAGGCTCAGGGACCTGCCCTGTACTGTCTTGTCGCTCTGCTCTCTCTGTCTGTTCTCTCTCTCTCTCTCTCTCTCTCTCTCTCTCGCATGTGTGTGTTCTTCCTTAGCCTCAGGCCTATAAGAAACACAAGCACCCTTGTTACCAGGTTCAGTACAGGCAAGCATACTAGGTAAAGCCATTTAATCTTTAAAGCTTCCAATAGCCTGAAACTGCTGGTTTTCTGTCCTGTGAATTCCACACTGGAATCTTCAGAAAGATTCAGTGCTCTTCTAGTTATCTAGAGGATAGCAGTGAGGTATGTCATTTCAACCATGTATCGTGTGTGATCGCCACTCTTTAGCCCCTCATTCACAGCATCCTACAACCTCAGTCATCAGATGATTCTTTCTCTCTCTATCTGCTTTGGTTCTTACAACCTACTACCAAACCTATTATCCAATTTCTGTTTTCTTTCTCTTTTTATTTACAATTTCTCAATCTGTTCTCCAGCATTAAATTTAGATAAGCACAGTATTAGCACTCTGAAAATATAATATATTCATAAATATATTTTTATTGGCAGAAGCACAAATTTTAACTGTCAAAGTCAGTATGTGAAACATCTTCCTGAGGGCTGGAGAGACTCACTCTCTTGGCTTAGGAGGCAGTCACATAGGGTGTACACACATATTTTCACTAAGCAATGAGCATTTGTACACACTGACATATGTGCCAGATGAGGAGAGGAAGAGAGGGAAGGAGGTAGGAAGGAAGGGGAAGGAGGTGGGGGAGAAAGAGACTACCAACTATCCAGCTTTTGCTCAGCAGAAGGAAAAGGAAGAAAGGTCTCATGTACTAAGCAATCCACAGCAATACAATTGCAACTCTATTGCGAAGGATTAAAATGTTCATTTCACTGACATATATTAATCCATCAATTCACAGCAAAGAATAGTTTAGATTATTAAATTCCATCTCTCTAAATACCTCGAGTATTATAAAGGAAATCATAGCTTTTGTTTGAAATATATTTCTGTTCTCAGAAATACAGTGATTATGCAAATAAAACAACTGAATTATTATAGAAAACACACTTTATCTGTCTTATACGTTTCAAATTATATTTTTCAGGCATTTAATCACTAGATCAAATATTGGATGGCAGACTATTTGCCAAAAAGTGCACTGGGTAGTTTGGAATTTATTATATGAGTTCACAATGAGATTTCTTTCCCTGATTAGATTTTGCCTGGTGCAATATTAAAATTCTCCTTGCTCTAGCTATCAGTTAAAAAAATTCAGGTGTTGCTTTTAAAAAATTAAAAAAGTTATCATTGAATTTAGACATATCACATATTAATCATGGAAACTCCAAATAGACAGTGTGCTCCATTTAGAAAATCTGCAATATGATATTTGGGATTAAGAGGCATAAATGTAGAGGAGCAAACTATAAATCATGTTGGGTATTATCTACATATGTGAAACACATTTTTGGCTCACAGATATCCAGATGAAGAAAGACACTTAACTCAGAATATCAGAGTGAATCACGTACCTTGGCCATCTTCTCTGCCAACTGCAGCCGGCCATCAAGTTCCCGTCTGATCTGGGCTGCTTGCTCGTCAGCATTATCCAGCTTACAATAAAACAGAAATACACATATAATAACTCACTGGCATCAAAGCGAAAATTAATGAGTAAAAAACGTTCAATAAATTCCCTTATCTACATTCTGAGAAAATAATTTAGGAGTCTGTTTGACTACACTGTAACCAATTAGACAACTTTTTTCAATGGGTTTTACTCATAAAGTGAAATCTGGAGGATTCAGTAGCTCAAGCTATTAAGAAAGCTAAGCACTGAATAATTCTTTGCACAATGTGCTCATGGCAACTCTAAACCAAGAGCTCCTTACTTCCCTGAGGTTTAGATAGCTCTCCCTCAAGATTATTCAACACATCTTCTCCCCTCAGGAAGGCCAACCCTAAGTACTTCAAGATCTATGAATCTTGTCTTTTGTTCTTTTTTGGATGATAAGATTAATGATTCATTTCTTTCTTTTTACTTTTAAAAGTATTCCTTCATTTTTCTAAGTTTATACTCACACTAAACTATTAAAGTACTATTTGATTGACTGGACTGACTTTCTACCATTTAAGTCTGCATACACTCCTTATTCTTGCAACAAAATACTCATGCTGCCAAGAAATGATGATACTTTCTACAGACAAGTGCTGTATTAGAGGAATGCTCGATTGTTTCAAATTTGGCTGAAAGTATTTTCTTTTAATGCAATAATTATTTTTCAGAAATCCCCCATTTATATAGAAAATTTTCATTACCTATTTAAACAATTCTTAACATTTACTATGCTGCCCTTTAACTGTCTTCATGATTCCTCTCCTCTTCCCAATTACTCAATCTTCTTTTATGAGTTCATACTATGATATGAAACTGGTGATAAGAGATGTTAAAATTCCTTTTTTACTGTAATCAATTCTCCTTTCCTACTCTGATCATTAAAAAGTCTAGACCAAGAATATAACCATATTTTGATAAAGGTGCTTTAAAAACATTTATATTTTGGGCGTGGTGGCACACACCTTTAGTCTCAGCACTCGCTGAGGCAGAAGCAGGTGGATCTCTGTGAGTTCAAGGCCAGCCTGGTTACACAGCAAGTTCCAGGCCAGCTGGGGGCTATAGGGAGACCCTGTCTCAAAAAGAAAAAGAAAAAATTGTTTGTGTGGAAGGGTGTAACTTTAGGCCACGTGTGCGTGTGTGTGTGTGTGTGTGTGTGTGTGTGTGTGTTCCAAAGGCCAGAAAATAGATTTGGATTCCCCTTTGAGGGTTATAGTTGGTTGCTAGCTGCCAGAAGTGGATACTGAGAACCCAACTTGAGTCCTTTGAAGAGGACCAAGCGGCCTTAACTGCTGAGTCATCTCTCCAGCCCATAAAAGTACATTTTAAACAATGTACTGAGTGTAACATTGAATACTCAAGAGGATATAATATGTCCCTATGCTGAAGAACAATAAACTAGCCACACTGCACTTAAAAAACAGCATCCCTACTCACCCATTCCCCCCAAAGGATAAATCAAGGCTAGATTACCAGACTCACGCAGAGTTTGGGGAATGTTAGAGATGGCAGGGTAGGAGACCAGGTTACAGAGAGCCAAAAGGAGGTCACACAAATTCCACTTCATGTGCTATGCTAGGGAGCTGAGAGTTGGCAACCACAGTAGATGTCACTGGGAAGTTTTATACAATGGAGGGAAGAAAACAGATCTAAGCTATTGAAAGGACAGCTTGGTCTGTCCCCAGAGCAAACCATGAGGTCAGTCAAAGGGAGCTGGCACTTTTAGGTTTAGAGTATTTATTGTTTTTATAAAGAAAAACTAACATATCTGAAGTTACTTTTTTGAAGACATGCTTCAAATTATTTTTTGACATGAAATTCTTTAAGTAGAAACTTCTTAAACTGTGGGTCACAACCCCACATAGGTTGCCTAACAATGTAAGGGTGGCAAAAAATTAGCAACAGTAAAAAGCTTCTGAATATACAACCACTGAAAATTAACAAATCTAAAGTGTAAGGAACCCAAGGTATTTTCAGCAGGACTCACCTGTGCTTCATCCCAGGAATTCACTGCGGCCTTGGTTCTAAACACACATGAGCACTTTGCACTGGGCAGGTGGGATTTCCCCACAGCACCAACCGGCACTGAAATACCTTGGCTCAGAGTTGCGACTACTGTAAGTTATGAATTGATGCATTTTTACTATGCATAGAAAGGTTTTTGTTATAAAAACATTAAATAACAAAGATTTTATATAATCCTACCTTCCTTCCTCAGCACGTAAATACTTCAGATACCTTTGGACTGTCTTATATTAGTGCTGATTTGTTTCATAAAAAGATGGTAAATGATTTTGGTTTAGGATTAAGAAAGTTTCCAACAATTTCTGAGATGGCCCTACACACGTCTGTCTTTTTGCACTATGGATAACTGACAAGCAGCAATGATGATTGTGAAATCGAGATATTGATCCACTCTGAAAAAAGGAGAAGGTGTCGCATGCCTACCCTACCAAATACTCAGGCAATTTAATTTTTAATGTAAGCACATTTTATTCAGTGTGCAAATTTACTTTTGTCTTTCATAAAACATATTTTTTTCATAAAAAAGAATTATTTTAAAATAAAATTATCTACTAATTTTTAAAAAGTCATATCCATTTATAAATAAATTAAAATCCAGACAAGTAAATTTTTGTCATAAAACAACTTCTATGCATATCCAAACCACCGGTAAACTTTTAATTTTATCAATTTATATGATTAAAAATTAACCAGAAATAAATTTCTCTCCACTATACCTAAAACCAACATAAACTAAAACTAATGTAATCACAAAAAATGTAAGTGTGGTTAAATATCTGTTCTAGATAATCAAGCCTTCTCAGCACAAAGATTCTAAAATAAAATCATTCTAAATATAGTAATACTGCAAATGAACTTAACATCACAGGAGATAGTTTCTGGTTTTTGCTTGAATGCTATTATTAATTTTTTGCACAGGAAAAAAATAACAAGAAAGGTTATTTTCATCTAAAAGAGTTACAGATTTCCTTAGAGTTCCACCAAAATATTAGTTTCCTAAAAGAACCACAATCCTTCAAATTTCACCTAAACATTATTTGATATATTTAAACATTTTTGCCTTTAGTCTGACAGTTTTTACTTAATTTTTAAGATAATTTGTTTTAGCTATTTTTGAATTTAATATATTTTTGCAAGAGACATTTAACTACTTTAAAAAACATTAATGCCTTAATCGCTTTTGTCTAAAAAAGATGCAAGCAAAGAAAAGAGCTGCTGAATTAAACCTCCTCCTCTTTGTAAAGCTAACATTTTAGAGAGTGAGTCCTAACTTTAGTGCCTACCACTGTCAATTTGTGAATGACTTAAGATCATATTCCTGAACATGTTTACAAATAATTCGTGGGGACATAATATAATAAAGACAACGAATAAAATTTTAGGTGCTTGCCCTTCTTTTATACAGGATTTAACAAGTAAAGCATTCAACTTTTTTCAAAAGTGAGAACCTTGAATTAGTATCTTATGTTTTGTTTTCTTTTGAGTTTTGAGTAGTACTTTTCTTTATAAAATGTATTGAAAAGTTTATATAATTTTCTTCCTCCCCCCTCCCCCGTTTTACTCTTTTTCTTTGGATAGGGTTCTGTATGTAGCCCCAACCGGATTTTAACTCATTAACGGAAGTGATCTCACCTCCTCCATTTCTCTCCTGAGTGCTGGGATTATGGATATGCACTACCATGCCTAGTTTAACCTTAAAGTGGGACATTTTCAGTTGAAGTAACTGTAGACTTGTGGGCTAATGACAGAAACAGAGAGAGATCCATTATACACTCTTTTCAGCTTCCCCAAGATATTTAATATGAACAAACTGGCCATCTCATGCAAATTTCTTGAAGATAAGGTTCTGTATGTAATTGATTACATATATAAGTCTATGTATCCAGACACTGAACAGTGCTAACACTACTATGACCTCTCATGGCACCCTTTATAACCACATCTACCTCCCTCTAGCCAACCCCAAGTCTGTTAGTTTTAATAGGAATTATCTTCATCTTAAACAATGTTTAAAAATATACTCTGCAAGCCAGGCGTGGTGGCACATGCCTTTAATCCCAGCACTCAGGAGGCAGAGGCAGGTGGATCTCTGTGAGTTCAAGGTCAGCCTAGTCTACATAGTGAGTTCCAGGACAGCTGGGGCTACAGGGAGACCCTGTTTCAAAAAGACAAAAAAAAAAAAAAAAAAAAAAAAAAAAAAAAAAAAATCTGCTAAGCAGAATAGGATTTTCTTCAAATTTAAATATCAAGATAAGACCTGCTCCAGGAGGAAGGTAATACTGATAAACATTAAACAGCTTTGGGTACAAGGTCTCTGATGTCTTTACAACCTGAAAGGTCACTGCCTGAATGTCTTCTCTAACATTCCTAACCATAACCAGCATCATGACTGAAAACTCTGAGGTACATACAAACCTCTAGCTACAACCTGCTGTTGGACTTTCAGCCTTACCTTCCCCAATTGTATACTTACCAATTCAACTTACATGAGTAAAAGGCATGTTGAACTTAACCCCAGAAGAGATGAATCTTTTAGTTTGACCCCTTACTCTAAGCACTCACACATAATGCCATGTTATAAATGGTGTGTCATCTACCCAGCTCCAAACCTGGGAGGTCATCATCTTTGATCTCTCTTTCCTTCACTGACCAAATCCAATCTACCTCAAATTAGAGTGAAATCTAGAGCCACGTAGCTGAGTCCTAGGCAAGACAAACCTCTACTATGAATGCTTGAACTGAGAGATCTTTTTCTGCACACAAATGGTATGCATATCTGTGTGCATGCACAAACACGTGAATTTAAATGCAGGTCCCTCCCACCTCCCAACCACACAATATACAATTAACTTTCTCAATTTAGCTACAAAAAACTCTAAATAAGAAATATTTTTAAAAAATAATTAAAAGTAATGGGGTGAAGGGGGTCAGTTCAAGCAGAAAAAAATGCTTTCCATGATTGCATGAAGACCC